AGCGAATCGGCGTTTAAAACGCGTTTTCTTTCAAAAAAAAAAAAAAAGACAGGTGTTTTTATGGAAAACGTTTAATACGGCGCCTTTTTAAAAAGTTCGAGAAAACAACACGGTTTTTTCAAAAAAACGTTTAAAACGCGATTATAAGAAAAACGAATTAAACGTGACCAAAAAAATCGTATCCTTTTTTTTACCTGTAATTTTTTTTGAAAGATATTTTTTTTTTCCTGATTCAAAATTTCTAAAAAAAAAAATATTATCTAAAAAAAATCTAATTTTTTACCTGTAATTTTTTTGAAAGATAAATTTTTTTTCCTGATTCATACTTTCTAAAAAAAATATTATTTTAAAAAAAAATCTAAAATAGATGCGGATTTCTATGATTAATATGGAATTACTATTTATGGCAAAAAACCATCTAATTTATCATAAATTAGGGCTCAAACCATCCAGATTATTATAAATTAGAGCTCAAACCATCCAGATTATCACAAATTAGAATAAACAAGCATGAAAACCATTGAATAAAAAATTCCCAAATTTTCACTTGACAAAATCCCACTAAAATTTCAATCCATATTAAGGTTCAAAGGGCCTCCATAATTCCAGATTACAAAATCAATATATAAGCTTAGCAAAAAAAAAAAAACAGATTAAGGGTTTTTTCATATCGCCAAACCTGTGCATGCTGCTGCTTCGTATATGCGTGCTGCTTCACTCTCTCTCACTGAATCCCCAAATAGCCTTTTTCATATCCTCAAACCCATAGTTACTTTGTGCGTATTGCTTCTCTCTCTCACTCAATTCCCAAACAAGTTTTTCCATTTTCCCAAACCTATAGTTCCTCTGTGTGTGCTGCTCCTTCTGTGCATGATGCTTCTCTATCTGTATGTACTACTCCGGTTCTCTCTGAAGTAATGGATCACCACTTCACCATACCATAGTTATGGTCTCTTCATATGCTTCAACACACCATACCGTACTTAACCAAACCGTAGTACGGTTTGACTCTGATTTGTTGGGCTTTGTCCGATATATTTGTGATATCTTTACATGAAGTATTTCTATCGATGCGTATTTTTTACCCGATTTTTTCATCCAATTTTTTAAAATAAAAATGATTTATTTTCAATTTTATGGTGACCCGAATTATTGATAGTCCCTGGCTTGCTAAATATGGTCCACATACACTAGCAAGTACATTTGTTCTATTTTTAATCATTAATAGCATATTTATTTTGGGATTGTATACTACATGACTATTTACTTTTCATACAAGGAGATTATAATTACTTATAACCATTCGATAGTGAAATCTAATACTTTGGATGTGTCACAAAGTATGAGAAATTTTCTTTTGAAATGGTCAATGTAATAAGTGTAGCCACCCAATATCATATCCAATGGCTAAGACTAATTGTGACAATCTTGTACCAAAGATAAATAGTCTCATTGTATAGTTTTTCATTTATTTATTTTATAAAAAAAAATGAAATTTATAAAAATAGAGCTATTTAACAATTTATCTATATAGTTAGATCTAATTTCATAATACCCATCAAAAGTTGCATGATTATGAGTTGGAATAATTGCAAATGTATAAAATGTTAAATGATTGTATTAGAGTACACATACATGTGAGCATTTACTAAATGTGCTCAACAATTTTTTACATTTAATACCCTTACTTTATAATGTAGTAACTTTTTGTTTGGGGGTATTTTAGTTAATTATTCAAGAGTAAACTAGAAAGTCATAATAGAAAGATGAATATTTGTTAATTAAAGTAGAAAATGACATTATCCACATTGAGTAGTACATCACCTACATAGAACATTAAATGACACTAAATTCTTATAGAAATATCTATCCTATCCCCTCTTAATGGCGAAAAATATCCTTATTCAAAACAATTTTGTACTACAAAGCAAATGTAGTTAGTGTAAAAAAATGTTTAGTACATTTCGTAAATGGAAAAATTTATATAGAGCCGAGGCTCTATACAATCAAATTCGAGCCTCCCTCAAAACTTTCACTAGAAGAGGTTGTTTTGATGTCCAAATATCCTCAAATTGATCATCTCGACATCGAGATGCATGGACAAGAGAAAAAAAATGGATTTCAATATTTGGAAATAGTGTATTTTGTAATGTATTTGTGAACCGTCAATTGTAAAGATTTCAAGTTTTCATTGCTCTCGATCTACACAACTTTTGAAGCTTTAAACTTTATAAATAAATATGAAAATATATTTTAAGGTTATCAAAAGATTTCTAGTATTGAAATCACTTTCTTGGATACTATTTGAAGGTAGGCTCTAATTGGATTGTTTAGAGCCTAAACTCTATACAAACCGCACCATTTAGTAAATACTCATATGTATGTGTACCCTAACATAATCCATTAACATAATCCAATGTTAAAGGATGATAATGTGCATGTGCATCTCTCATAGGTAGTTTGATAAATTTCCCTTAACAAAATAGAGCTATACGCGCATGTTTGAATTGCCACATTTATTCACTGAACTGCTCTCATGCGGAGGCCTTGGAGTAACGAGTGCGTCTCTGCTTCTAAGGGGCTTGAATACGTTGTCACCATGAGATGGTTTCGTGAGAAACCTCTAATAACATTGTATGTCAAAGTTCTCCATCATGTTATTTGTTGTAAGTGCCAAATCTATCATTTCGAATTTTAGTGATAATTGTTGATGGTAAATTGAATTCATCATGATTTTCTCTTGAAAAAATTGAAAGTAGATATTGTCTACAATATTATCCTCATAAAATGAATTTATTCTGATCTTATCACATCATTTTGGAAATTATTTCAAAACTTAACTAAAAATAGACCTTTCAAATATTTAATGCATCAGTTGCCTAAGCTGTAGTCCTAGTTCTTATCATTTTTGAAAGCTAATAATTTGGAAGAACCTCAAATAGTATAGAATTTTCAACAAAGGTGCACCCTAATTTAGATATTTAAATAGTATAGAATTTTCAACAAAGGTGCACCCTAATTTAGATATTTAAATAGTATAGAATTTTCACCAAAGGTGCACCCTAATTTAGATATTCAAATAGTATAGAATTTTCAACAAAGGTCCTGAAAATTTATTTTTATTTATAATTATAAAATTTAAAATTTCAAAAATAGCATAGATCGAGTGGATCTATGAACACTTGAAAATTGACGGTTTAGAAAATCCATTACATGATGTACTATTTCCAAGACTTGAGATCCATTTTTTCTCATGTCCATACATCTTGAAGTTAAGACGATATATTTGAGGATTTTGAGCATCAAAACAACTTCTGCTAATTAATTATTGAGGTGCACCTTAATTAGATTGTTTAGAGCCTCACCTTTATATAAACTTTTTTCAATATCTAAATAAAGCTAGATTTTAAAAAACTTCCTAAATAACAGTGAAAGTATACCTATTCCCTAAGACGCAACGTTTTATGCCCAAAGGTATTCTACTCCTTTGGGAGTAGAATGCTTATTTACTCCTTCGATTAAAACCCCACTTCTAAGTAATTTTAGGACCCCAAAATTTGGGGATATAACCTCTTCAACGTATATATTAGTCTCAATAAAAAACCCCTCATTGTGCCCTTTATGCACTTGAAAAAATGATGCCTCCATAGAGAATAGTGACCATCCAATTTCTAGATGGTCACTAAATATTATTAAAATAGTATATATATTAAATATTATTTCAATATTACTTTTATTTTAAATATAAAATATTATATAATATATATTGTAATGTAAATATCTATTAAATAAATAAAATATGTTATATAATAAAATATAATGTATAAGTATATTATAGTACATAAATATATTATAATATAATATGAATATTATATATTACATATTATATAAAATATAATCAATATATATATCATATATAAATTAGTATTACATAATATTATATTATATTATTTATTAAAATTCTATTTAGATATTATATATTAAATAAAATATTATATAATATAGTGAATATTGACTAATAAATACTGCATCCATGTGAGGTTTTGTTTTACCACAAATTAGAACATTTCATTGTAAAAATTTTCACTATAGGATTTAGTTGCATACGCATTACCCACCAAACAAATATATGAAACACAAATTTCATCGTGAAAATTTTTTTCCAAAGATATTTACGTACGAACGGAACGCCGCCTCAGTTTGTGCTGGAAATCATGACACGACAACCCTTTTGAGCAGCCATCCCTCTTGTTGACCAATGACCAGTCGTACATGCACGGCACGCATATTTAGAAAAGTACGAGATAGCCGCCACAAAAATAAATATCTCTATGAGCGCATGTAGAGCCCGCGTTTTATGTGGCAGCTGATTTTTTATATTATATATTTATTATAAAATATTTGGTAAAAAAATTAGCGAGTGTTTTTGTTATCATTTAATACCGTCTAAATTTCATTGTATGGTTATGATTATTTAATAGTATTTTTTTTTTTTAAATCTAAATTATTTGAAATTTGGAGTGTGTATATATCTTAGTGAGACATACCTAATAAAAATATAAAAAAAATAATTTTTAAAATATAAATTGACCAAAATACTATAAAAACCTTACAAAATACTCTTTTTATAAAAAAAAATTATAAAGAAAGTCAGTCAACCCATCTTGTTTTATTTTATTTTTTCAAAAGTACCCCTCAACCAGTTTTTTGATTTTTTTTTTAGTTTTTGTTAATAGGGCAGTGCCTTAAGGTTTAGAGCACTACTCTACTAATGAAAAAAAAACAAAAAGAACTAAAATAAAAAACTCAAAATTTGGGTTAAACAAAGAGCAATTTTGAATAAAATAAAATAAAAATGGGTTGACCGACTTTCTTTGTAATTTCAACGTCGTGTATTTCGTATTTTACCTACATTTTAAGGTTCGTATATAAATCATTAAAAAAAAAACAAAAGAAGAAGAAGAAGGTATGGGGTGAGTTGAGGTCAAATATAAAGGTTTTCGTTTGAGGGAAATTCAGGGCGGCGTAGTTAGAAGTTTTCAATTGAGTAGGTGCAAAGGTTCAATGCCTGGTTTGAGGGGAACTTTTCAACAAGTTGGGGCTGCCAGAATTTTCCGACATATATAGTATACTACCAAATTGTTCAAAAGTCTCTGTAGAAATAAGGGGCTCATGGCAAAATTTTATATTAATTCGGGATTATCCATTAGCAAGTTTCAGGGGAAAGTTCAAAAGTGTGAGTATAAATAAGGGGCTCAAGGGTTCAATAGTTTTAAGAGAGAGAGAGAGATCATGACGAAAAGCTTGCAGTCTGTGATGGCGCCCCTGTTATCCTTTCCTATGCATTTTGTGCATCCTGACTTCCATGAAATCCTAGGGAGGATGACACTCATCGATCGCTTCCTCTTCATTGTGAGTTTTTTATTTATTTATAGTAATTCGGTGGTGATGACAAGCAACTTTTCTTTTTTTAATTAATTAATAGTTTTTGAAACTGTCATTTAAAATGAAAGCCATGTACAATTGAGATATAAAACGTGCTACCACCAACCCCTCAGTGCATCCTTTACAAGCACAAGTGCATCCTACAAATGCAAATTAGAGAGAAAGAGTGAGGGAGAGTTTTATATATATATATATATATGAAAAAAACTAGCATAGCTCCATTAGCTTACCGGTTACATGAGTTTAATAGCTCAGATTCAATCTGGGATGATCTGATAGCTACGACTTTGACCATCATATCAGCTCCTATTGAATCTGGACCGTTGAGCTCATATATAGATGTGAGCTAATAGGCCTATATATATATATAGAAAAGATGAGATTAGCCCTCTAGCTCATATGAACATATGAGCCCAATGTTAAAGATTTAATCTGGTCCGATTTGACGATCACGGAAGTCGGGTATTGCTTTGCGTGGTTAGTAGCTAATGTTTAGCAGTACTATTATTGGAAAATCCAGCAGCGTCGAACCAGATCCGGCTGGGTTACCTGTGCGTCGTTTTGTCGGTGGTTTAAGGGGTCCAACTGCCAGGGGTTGGAGCCCCCACCTGACCTCTCCTACTCGGGCAGTTTTTATACAAACCAAACCACACCGATCTGACCTCTCCTACTCGAAAAGTTTTTACACAAACCAGACGGGTTCTGTTTTAACCCAACCGGGTGATCATTAACGAGCCGGTTACCAAGCCGGCTTTCTTTCTCTCTCCCTCTCTCTAGCTTCCAATCCCCTGATCTCTCTAGCTTCCCCCCCTCTCTCTCTCTCACACACAGGGGCATGACTGTAAAAGCGATTCTATTGAATTTTTTTTTATTTTTTATGGAGGTTTTTTCCCCCTTTTTGAGCCCATAAGAGGACTTACCAGACTCGGGCCGGGTTACCTCGACCCAGCCTATGGTCGGGTACCATGCTTGAGTCAGGTTATCCTACACTGAGCAGTACTATATCTCAAGTTCTATTTTTACCGCTGAACAACCCAAAAACAAAATGTTCTTTCAAGTTTAAGCCTTTTTAGTTTAGGACTAGGTATGTCTATGTTAATTAAGGCAAAATGGTTATTAGTTTCTTAGATCTCCATTGGTTATGAAAATTTCGCAGATTATACATTTAGTAGACAAGGCAGGGATATGGCACAGGCTACCAGTGCTTTTAGGTGCCCTTTACCTTGTTATCAGACGCCATCTCCATGAAGAATATAACCTCCTTAGTGTGGGAAAAACACCAGTTGGGGTGCGCTTCAATCCTGCTGATTACCCTTACAGAACTGCCAATGGCAACTACAACGACCCCTTCGCCCCCGAATCCGGCAGTCACGACAGCTTTTTTGGGCGAAACATGCCTCCTCAAGATCAGAAAGCCGTGGTTCGAACCTCTCCCTCTCTCCCTACATACCTCTGTGCACACACAGCATGGTTTTGAAAACAGTTATTAACATAAATAATGGTGGTTATAACCAAGGTTTTAGTACTCGGCTTAGTGGGCCCGGACTTGTCACCTTGTTGAGCCGAGTCTAGGGCACGAAACTGGCATTTAAACCATAAATAACAGAAAATATTAGAGCATCATCATCGTCAAAGCCTTTTCCCAATAAAATATTAAATCATATTTTTTCGCTAAATCATGCTTATATATATATTTGATGTTGTTTATGGTAGCTAGTGAGTTTATCTCACAAGATGCTTTATTTTTCTATTTTAATTTTTTTTTAATTTTTTAAATTAGTTCAAGCTATCAATCATTTTTCTTGGATTTCTTTTTGTATAATCTCTTCGTATTTTTAGAATTTTAATAATGTTTATGGTTTCATTTTCTTTTTATTGATTTTATTATTATTTTAACAAGTTTTTAAAACTTTTTCCAAACTTTTAACCTTTTTGGGTATATACGACTAGGGCGATCCAAGGGCGGAGTTCCAAGCCCGAGCTAAGGCTTTACAATTGGTTATAATGTTAACATCCCCACTTGTTAAGTTGTATAAATACTACATCTGGGCTATGTTAAATAGAATGGATATGTGTGTTTATTTATGACTTGGATATGAGTGTCAAAAATACTAATTCAAAAAAAATCTTCTAGACACAATACATCCGTGCAATAAAGAGGTGGTTACATATATGCACGCGTCAGTTAAAACATGTATTAAAATTTATTTGTAATTGACATTTACATTTACATATACAACAATTCATATTATCATAACAGTAGTAAAGTGTTAAAGTACTACAAACTTTAAAAACTATCAAATACAAGTATGGACATCAAAAACTTGTGAAACACAATGGCTAGAAAAATACAAGTAGAATTATCTAAAATACTATATTAAAAAATAAGGTAAAATATGATTAGACCACCCTACTAGAAAACTATATTTGTGACACTTGTATGATCCGAATTTTTCACACATACACTCTCTTCATCATAATAATTAACCCAAAAATAAAATAAAATTCAAAATTTCACCCTAGATTTGGTCAAAATGAGTGCCCTCCAACAATGGATCTCGACCATCCATTTGGTTAATTTCAAGATCTAGGCATTCACAAATTCAAAATTAGTTTTTCCTTTTCTAACATTGTTTTCTAATGATAATAATGCCATCTAAATATTTAGAAAGGAAAAAAATCCTTCCGTGGCCTAAATCTAAGCATCTCACTAAAGTAGATGGCCTATATTAATTAAGTTAAAAAATACTCTTTAGGGTATGTTTCCAAATTTAGATTTTTAGTGATTTTTCACTAGAATGAAAAGAATGCATATTTAAAAATTGGAGTCATATAAATGACCGTAATATGGTTTTTCTAGATCACACACACGCACACATCTGTATAGGAAAAGTCTTAAAAACACCTATAGGCAAAGTACTACAGTGTTTTACCCCCGTCACGGATATGCCCTATCCATGACAGTTTTGCCTAAAAACCGCCATGGACCTACAGGAGCCGTGGTAGTCCCCCCATATTTTTTACTTCAAATTTGTGTGAAAAAAATCCCATCACGGACTTACTATGTCCGTGATGGACTGCCATAGACATGGTAAGTCTGTGACGGTCTTTAATCTATGACGTCCGAAAAAATCAGACAGCGCCAAGCCTATGGGCGAAAATATTGTTAATTTTCGTCCATAGGTATTTTGTAGTCTATTCCATATATATATATATATATATAACACCTATAGGAGAAAATGAACAGTGATTTTGCCTACCCTCATCACTGTCCAGAGTTCATGGTACGGTCATGATTATTCGGTAGTATTTTATTTTTTATTTTTTTCTACAAATTGAAATGATCTGAAATTTGGAGCTTGTGTTCATAAAAAAATAGGCAAATCTACGAAAAATATCAAAAAAATATTTTACATGAAATAAATTGATCAAAATACCCCCAAAATGTTTCAAGGGTATTTTGGTCAATTATTTTTTCTCGAATTATAATTTTTTTTATATTTTTATTAGGTGCGCTTCACTAAGATGTACACACGTTCCAAATTTCAAATCATTTTGATTTGTAGAAGAAAAAAAAATGAAATATGAAACACTACCGGACAATCATGACTGTGCGATAAACTTTGGACAGTGATGAGGGTAGACGAAATCATTATTCATTTTCGCCAATATGTGTTGGGAAGAATTTTCCATATATATATAGGTGTGGTTTGTATAAGCCTGTGGCCATAAACAATCAAAGTAAAGTGTGCCTCTAAATAGTATCAAAAGATATTATTTCAATACTGGAAATCTTTGTGATTGACTGAAATTTTATTTTTACATCTGATTATAAAATTTAAAGCTTCAATGTAGATCGAGCATATCCATGAACGCTTGAAAATCTTAGAAATTGACGGTCCAAAAAATGCAATACAAGATATACTATTTCCAAGACTTAAAATACATTTTTTCTCATGTCTATATATCTTAAGGTTGAGATAATCGATTTGATCAATTTGGAGCATCGAAACAACCTCTTCGAAGTGAATTTTTGAGCTGCGCCTTAACTTTATTTTATATATATATATATATATATATATATTCTCTGTTTCCTCTATTATTGATGTTTTTCTATATTTTAACATTTTGTCCTTTTGGGTTAATGTTGGTTTTTCCCTTATAAGTTTTATCACTTTTATAATTGTAAAACACACTAGTACCATTCCATTCACCTTGATGCATAATACATACATAAATAAACTTGTCTAAAAATATTATTGTTCTTTGGATTAGGCTTGATTGCTTTAGGTGTTTAAAGTTTCAACATATCCCTATATCAAATGTACTGTAAACTTATAACTTTGATGTAGCGACCTATTTTTAAATGTAACCTATGGGATTTTATGGGACATTAACCATATAAAAACATGTGCTATTTTCATAGTAAGTGCGTTGGAAATTTATTAGGATAATACCTTGTTCTTTAGTTAAAATTTTAATTACACATATAAAAAGATAACAAAAAACCTGGAGTTATTTAGTAATAATTATGCATGCACCCATACTTAATGAGCAATCTATCATATAAAGTAAATTTTTAAAAAAAGGAAATGAACTTTGGTAAATCTATTGTTTACAACTCATTCTAATATTAGTATAAGTAATTAAGGGATAATCCAGTATTAACAACATTTGAGTATACTAATATTAATATTAAAATGGGTTGTGAAGGGTGGATTAACCTATAAAAATAACTTCCTAACAATAAATAATATTTTTGTAAATACACCCATCAAGACCTATTCTAATATTAAACTTTGTAATAAATATTATGTTTTATAGGTAACTTGATCATTATGTAAGATATGTATAAAATGCAAAACGCATAAAAATAATCACGAGCAAAGTTTTACACTATTTCAGTCATGACTCATCATCGTCCAATGACCATCAAATAATCATGATTATTTTATAATTTTTAATTTTAAGATTTTTTTACAAATCTGATTGACCTCAAATTTCGTCGGTGTGTCCACCTTAGTAAGGCACACCTAAATAATAAAAATAAATAAATTACCCTTATAAATATTTCAAGGGTTCATTTTATTTTTTGATAATTATTTTAATGTTTTATTTGGATGAGAGTTGGCTAGATGTACGCTTACTCTGAATGTCAAATAAATATGATTTATAGAGAAATTATTGAAATTCCTATATTATCAGACAATCATGACCCTGTGATGGATTTTGGATGGTGATAAGTCATAAGTAAAATGCTATAGAAATTCACTCATGAGTATTTGTGAGAGTTTTCTATAGTTATCACCAAAAGAGGAGCACTTTGGGCATGATAACAAGGACAATGGCAATACACAAGCAAAGTTTTATGACAATTTCTTTGATAATTTCATTGCATTTTTGTGCAGATTTCAAATGAATCATTCCTTAATTATTTAGCTATCCATAAAAATAATTTCTTATAAAAAAATATGCATTTTGTAAACTACATCCACGATAATGCATTCCAAACTTAACTGTAGTGTTGTGGTTCCTTTGTCTTAAACAACTTGGAGTAGCCTGTAGGCAACTTGGATCAACCTCACTAAATTAGGTAAGCTCAAAAGAATATGGTAAGTAGTAAGAAAAGATAAGGCAACTTATGACCTCATTGAAGGTATGGCTATTTGATAGAACAGGATGGTAGACTATAACTCTTGTAGCCAACATCAAATAGTTGGAAAAAAACTATGATGATAATGATAGATTAGCATGAATAAATTTATGAGGCTATTACATTCCTACTGTCCAATTTTTTGGATGGTTAGGTACTAAAAAAAATTTTATTAAATTGTTAGGAGGGCAACTTTGAAAAAAAAAAAAATGCCACGCGCATGGGGTGGGGGTGGTGGTTGTGATTCCAACGGTCCCCGTACTTAATTTGTTTAAATTTTTTAGATCAATGAAGTCCTTTTAAGCAAGTCATTTGCGTAATGGAAAAAATAAATGTTTTGCTCATGGGAGACCATACTATACACCCTTTGTATTCATGATAAGGTGGTTTTCATTGCAGCTTTTGAAGCCGGATCCAATAGTTGTGGCAACTAAGCTTCTTGCTAGGAGGAAGTTGATAGACACTGGAAAACAATTCAACATTATCGCTGCGTCTTGGATACAGTTCATGATACACGACTGGATTGACCACCTTGAAGACACTCAACAGGTGCATCATCAGTCTCTCTCTCTCTCTGAATTTCTTCATTGCCATGAGAGAGAGAGATGATCCATTGCACAGAGAGAGAGAGAGCGAGAGAGAGGACCCATTGGAGAGAAAGAGAGAGAGAGAGATAACCCATTGAGTACTTGACTGCGTGCAGGTAGAACTAAAGGCTCCAGCTTCGGTGGCAAGTGAGTGCCCACTCAAGTCCTTCAGGTTCTATAAGACAAAGGAAGTGCCCACTGGCTTCTACGAAATCAAGAGCGGTTCCAAGAACATTAGAACTCCTTGGTGGTGGGTTTCAATTGGTTCTATACATAATTTCATAGTCATCAGTGTTCCAAAAATCGAGCCGACTTGGATGAGTCCGTGTAAACTTGGATGAGTCCGTGTAACTCGTACACCGGCCGGTTCAACCAGCCTAAGCGGGCAGGTCCCGGCCTATCCAAAAAGTGTTAAAAAATAAACAAATATCAAAAAAAGCTAAAAATATGATAAGTATATTTAACACTTGATTAAACAAAGTACGTCAAGATGAAGTTGAAAAGCAGTGAAAAAAATTGATTTGTGCCCAACTGTATTTTCAAATTTTTTTAATACCGATGGGAAAATGTAAAAATAAGTATTCATGGCCAAAACAACTTTCAATCTTTGCCAAAATAATAAAAATATTAAAAAATACATTACAAACAAATCCCTTATATCTTGGGATTTTATTTTATTTTTTGAATTTCTTTTAAAATACCCAGCATGACCAAAACCAGATTGACTAGTGCCCAATTCTGGTTTGACCTGGTTTCGAGTTGGACCAGCCGAATTTGCGAACACTCATAGTCATTTAGTGTAGAGAATGTTGTATGATTTGAAATGAGTTTGGATGAATGGTTTTCATGGAGAATTAGGGATGGGAGTGGGATTTATGGGAGCACGGCAGAGAAGCTTGCAAAGGTCAGAACATTTAGAGATGGGAAGCTAAAAATCTCCTCAAATGGTCTCCTTCTCCACAATGATGAGGGTATTGCAGTAGCCGGAGATGTGCGCAACAGCTGGGCAGGGGTTTCCACCTTCAAGCCCTCTTTATCATGGAGCATAATGCCATTTGTGATAAACTCAAGGTAAGACACAGTTATAGTACCAAATGCCTGGAGGGAATTTTACGATTTTAAATCATAATTTTTGTCAAAATCTTTTCGCAACTAGTTGAAGTTGACTAGATGAATATGGTCTGCCATGCTTATTCTGCTCTATTAAGGATCATATCTTTAGTGAAGCCATAAGTCCCTATATTTTCTTCCAACCATATCCTTTTCAGTCTACCCGTTATCCTTTTTGAGTTTTCCACTTGAATAATCGTACCTCTTAACAAATTATATACTGGGTCTACGCCACACATAGCCAGCTAGCTAAGTGTACACTCTCTTATCTTATTGCCTATTGGTACCATACTTAAATTTTTCCAAACATATTCTGTCGACTTCTATCCTTTCTTATTTTACAACTCATCCATCTCAATATTTTCATTTCAGTTACACTCTTTCTATGAGTAATGTTGTTTCTTCACCGCACAACATTCCACCCCATAAAATAAAGTTGGTCTCACAGTTGTCTTATAAAACTTTCCCTTTAGTTTCATCGGTGAGCATAATGCCATTTGTGATAAACTCAAGGTAAGATATAGTTATAGTACCAAATGTTTGGAGGGAATTTTACGATTTTAAATCGTAATTATCGTCAAAATCTTTTCCCAACTAGTTGGAGTTGATTAGATGAATATGGTTTGTCATGTCATTCTGCTCTATTAAGGGTCATACCCTTAGTGAAGCCATAAGTCCCTATAATTTCTTCCAACCATATCCTTTTCAGTCTACCCGTTATCCTTTTTGAGTCTTCCACTTGAATAATCGTACCTCTCAACAAATTATATACTGGGTCTACGCCACACATAGCTAGCTAGCTAAGTGTACCCTCTTATCTTATTGTCTATTGGTACCATACTTAAATTTTTCCAAACATATTCTGTCGACTTCTATCCTTTCTTATTTTACAACTCATCCATCTCAACATTTTCATTTCAGTACACTCTTTCTATGAGTAATGTTGTTTCTTCACCGCACAACATTCCACCCCATAAAATAAAGTTGGTCTCACAGTTGTCTTATAAAACTTTCCCTTTAGTTTCATTGGTGAGCATAATGCCATTTGTGATAAACTTAAGGTAAGACATAGTTAGAGTACCAAATGTCTGGAGGGAATTTTACGATTTTAAATCATAATTATCGTCAAAATCTTTTCTCAACTAGTTGGAGTTGACTAGATGAATATGGTCTGTCATGCCATTCTGCTCTATTAAGGGTCATACCCTTAGTGAAGCCATAAGTCCCTATATTTTCTTCCAACCATATCTTTTTCGGTCTACCCGTTATCCTTTTTGAGTCTTCCACTTGAATAATCGTACCTCTTAACAAATTATATACTGGGTCTACGCCACACATAGCCAGCTAGCGAAGTGTACACTAGCTTATCTTATTGCCTATTGGTATCATACTTAAAGTTTTCCAAACATAATCTGTCGACTTCTATCCTTTCTTATTTTACAACTCATCCATCTCAACATTTCCATTTCAGTTACACTCTTTCTATGATTAATGTTGTTTCTTCACCGTGCAACATTCCACCCCATAAAATAAAGTTGGTCTCACATTTGTCTTATAAAACTTTCCCTTTAGTTTCATTGGTATGCGGCGATCACATAAAACTCCAGTTGTACATATCTAGTTTGCCCATCCAGCTCTATTTCTATGTGTAACATCTTCCTCAATCTCCTCATATACTTAGATTATCGACCCAATATATCAAAAGTGCGTTTTTTTTGGTATTTCTTGGTCATCAATCTTAATTACTTCTTCATCTCTACTACTATTATTATTAAACTTTCATTCCATATATTCCATCTTAGTTCGACTAATTTTAAAACCTTAAGATTCTAAAGCATCCATGCAAACATCCCATAGGGAGAGGCCGAGTCGGAGTAGTCCAGGCCGAGTCTCGAAACAGTGGTAACATATGCTTCTTGCCAGTTTCTCTTAGTTTTGAACAGTAGAGCTCCATATCTAACGATGCCCGAACTTTTTCATATGCCATGCCCTAAGCCCCGAACTATTGATCTATCAGCCGAACCCTGAAAGTAACATACTTTGATATCAGTTTTTATCGATAGATTATTTTTATATGGTTTTCAAAAAAAAAACTAAGATTTTTTATTTTTATAACTAGTGGCATCATCCGCATCTCGACGATGAATCCTTGTATCGGTACGCAAGACTGGTGACCGCAGCTGTAATAGCCAAGGTTCACACGATCGATTGGACTGTGGAACTGCTTAAAACCGATACAATGCTTGCTGCAATGAGAGGAAACTGGTAAAGTTTGAATAGAATTAACTTGTTTGGGATCACATATTATAGTTCTCCATTTTCATTTTTCAGAAACATTAGCTTAGTTTATTTTATTGACTCGAAAAGTTGTTTCAGGTATGGCATATTGGGTAAGAAGTTCAAGGACACCTTTGGTCATGTTGGAGGCCCCATCTTGGGTGGATTAGTTGGTCTAAAGAAGCCTGAGAACCATGGCGTTCCTTATTCCTTGACAGAGGAGTTTACTAGTGTTTATAGAATGCATTCTCTAATGCCTGACCACCTTATCTTAAGAGACATTCATGGGCAACCTCAAAAGGACAAGTCCCCACCAATTCTAGAAGAGTAAGCACTGTCATCGTTCTTCTTGTTTTCTTATAAAGTGTGGAATGTTAGATAAGTCTCCATATCAACTAAGGAATCACAAATGAGTGGGTTCTCTCAACCCTAAATGGGCACCGGTAGCTTAATGAGCATGATATGAACATAAAAATTGATGGGTCAAAAACACTGGACTGCATTATTATTTATGTTACAAAGACACGGTTACGTGCATCAGTATTGGACACGACTATAAGTTTCAAAAATGTCAACTCCAAAAATGACATTTTAAACACGACATGTTTGTATATCATTTAGTTGAGACGGGGGAAGTGGAATTTGAGGTAACATCTGGTATCTGTATAGTGAGAATTCAATAAAGAGCTTACGATGAAAATTCATTACATATTCCTTGGTGCGTCAACAAAGACCAAAAACTATAGACAGACGTGTCATATTACACGACGTACTAAACTCCAAGTTTGTTTTTCTTTTATTTTCATTGTTGATGTGAATTACTCAAGTCCATTTTAGAGTCTTCATTTTATCAAAAAAAAAAAAAGGTTGGTATTATGCCAATTACTTGATAATCAAAGGAAGATAATGTCAAATTACTCCAACGACTACTCTCATCCATTCCATACTTGTGCTGAAATTTCAGGATACCCCTTGAAGAAATGATTGGGATCAGGGGGGAGAAGAAGGTAGCTGATATTGGATTTGAGTCCCAAATTGTATCAATGGGTCATCAAGCTTGTGGGGCTCTAGAGTTATGGAATTATCCTCTCTTCTTCAGGGATACTGTGCCAGAAAATGTGGATGGGACTGAGAGACCTGATCATGTTGATCTACCAGCACTCGAAAGTAAGTCATTAATTTTTCTACTCTTGGCAATTGTGTTATCTCCATTTGTTATAGTTCACTCATATGATCTAGGTTTCTTCCTGCCGACAGACCCTCATTGGTCTACCATCCCCCACTTTGGGGGGTTTAGAGGCATTTCTTTCACCTTAAATTTGACATATACATCTTTTTGGCCACAATGAATAAGAAAAAAAAATGTAAATGATTTATGTGGACTCAATAGGCTCAAGCCATTGATTTCATGGGTGACTAGGTTTAGGCCTTTACAAACTCAAAATCACTAAGAAAAGTTGTCATTCTAGTGATGTCGAGGTAATCTACAAAATTTTGGGTTAAACAAATCCCCCTAGGACCTTGATCAGACAACTTTTTATTTCCTAAAAAGGATGGTCCGCATTCATTCTAGCTTCTGTCTCCTCAAAAATTATTTTCTGAAACTTTTTACAATTCTTTTAACTATCTTATTCAGATGAACTGAGAAATGCATGTATCAAATTTGAGGCAAAATAAATGTCACAAGAAATCTTCAAAATCAGGGGAGAACAAATACTATTCTAGAGCTTCTATATTTTTTGCCTTGATAATCAGATGAAACTGATTCTTCCTATTGAACTTTTAATGATTACCTACTAATAGTTGTGATAACTGCTGAATTCATTGAGTGTGCACTAAAAATACAGTTGGAGGTTAATATGAGTTCTTTGCCCATGTTGGGCTCAGTTTATAGGGACAGGGAGAGGGGTGTGCCAAGGTACAATCAATTCCGAAGAAATCTGTTGATGATTCCTATTGAAAAATGGGAACAACTCACTGATGACAAAGAAGCAATCGAGTTACTGCAAGAGGTTTATGATGACGACATTGAGAAGTTGGATCTCTTGGTTGGAATGATGGCTGAAAAGAAGATCAAGGGCTTTGCAATAAGCGAGACAGCTTTCTTCATTTTTCTGATCATGGCTACTAGGTCTTTCTCAAAAACTGTCACCTCATTCTAGCTTTCATGGCATGAATTTCTTTTCTTTGATAGATTTTCATAAAATTTAGCTGATATGTTTATTAAACCACCCGGAAGTGAGAGACATACAGCGGAGAAGAACTGCAAACATTAATATAACAATAAACATTCACAAAGTAGTTGATATATGATAGTGGTAGGATATGACTGGTGATCAAATGGTACCTAGATTAACCCAAGGGAACATTTTAGAAATCAAACCACTTTCATGTCAAAAAATCAATGGTTTTTAGAAAGACATAGGAAAAGCAAACCATCCTCTTAGAAACTGCAGGCTCCATTTCATGGCCCTATAGCCATATCCCAGCTTATCTTCTGTGGCCTTATGGAAAATGGTAGAAACAATCTTCAATGATCATGTTCAAGTCAATAGTTTGGTTATAGCGATAAAAGAGGTTTTTTTCTTTTTTTTTCCAATCCATAAGGCATCAACAAATAGTATTTTGATGATATACAAGGTTCAATACCTTAACTTGTAGTATAAATAGTGGTGTCCCAAGCTGATAAGCCACTCCTCTAGGCCCATGTACACCAAAGTTTATTGCTATGGCCGTAAAATGATGCATCCAATGGGGCCTTAGTTGGCATAACAAACTCTTGAGTGAATCCAATAAAATTCGCATTAAAATGACTTCCTTAATCCAACTGTTGTGGCCATAATATCATTATTATCCATGGCAAAAGAAATTAGCAAACCTTTTCTTTCTCACTCTTCGCGCTTGTTATGAACATTTAAATTGCAACATGAATCGTCAATATATTTTGATTTGTCGAATGTGTGGTGTTCTCAGGAGGCTCGAAGCTGATCGTTTCTTCACCAGCTATTTCAATGAAGAAACTTATACCAAGGAAGGATTTGAATGGGTGAACACCACAGAGAGTTTGAAAGACGTTATCGATCGCCACTATCCCCATCTCACTCACAAATGGCTCAATGCTTCCAGTGCTTTCTCTGTTTGGGATGCACCTCCAAACGAAGATAGTCTTGTGCCTCTCTATCTTCGCACCCCCCATTAATAATTGAAAAAGTATATAAAAATATTATTTACTTTTTGTATAAGGAGATCATAATCACCTTTGTCCACCATATATTAAATTGGATAGTTGTAAGTGTGTTGTTGACTAGACTCCAAGTTAAAAAAAAAAAATTTGAATTTCGTGACGCAACTCAATCCATCCAATTTGACGACATTCAAATATTTCGTAGTATACAATGCCTTCTCAATTTGACGACATTCAAATAATCTCAGTATACCATCCCTGATATCTTTCCACTACGTGAATAAAGTTTTACTACTAATATCGTTCTATACAATATTCCCATGCTATGCAAGCTATTTAAATAAGGATGGTATCTTATCTTCTTGAGAATGTCCTTTTTCAATTCCTTTGGTGCTTTTTCTTCCTTGTGCATGTATATCTATTAGAAATCATGTGCAACTACCATGAATGGAGTTTAACTTGCACATGACCATGGTATGTGAAAGAATATCCTAGTAGAAAGTACTCCATATTTCAGGGCCGTTTGGGCAAAGGAAAACCAAAATATATGTATTTTCAACAATGATTTGGATTTCTGTTTACTCTTGGTAGAAACTGTTTGGAAACTCATGAAATCCTATCATTTATTTTCATTGTTGGAAAACCACAACAACATAATGAAAATACTCCTACTTGTTTATGGTTACAAATAAAGAACACCCTGTTTATAATTAATAATGATGAACCACAAGGGGTATTTTTACCATTTGATACATGCAAGGCATTTGAGTATCAAATGATAAAAATACTCTTAGTTGTTCCTCATTATTAATTATAACTGGTATGTTCATTATTTGCAACTCTGAACATAAAAGGGTTTTTTGTCATTCAATTGGGACCTTATGACCCTTGTCCTTAATAAGGATAATATGGAAAAATTTTATTTTTAAGAGGAGGTAGCTAGGGAAATAGGGGGAAAAGAAATTCCCCCAAATGTTAATTGAGATCAATTAAATTTTTAGTAATTTTGTAAAAGGTCTTAACCCCTTAAATGATATTTTCCCTAAATTCATTTGGTGCCAACAAGACACATGATATGTAAGAGAAAGCTTTGAAATACTTTATAGGACTTCAAACTTTAAAAAAAAATAAAAAAATAAAAAAAAAAAAGGGAAGAAGAAGAAGAAAGAGAGTGCAATAGTAAAGAACATTTCAAATCTCCAAGAAATGAGACAATGCGGGTAAAAGACAAGTTTACACAATTCCATAGCAATAATACAATATACATTTGAAAGAGGGATTGATTCTGCAAGTTCTGAAAGGACAATTAATCAAACTGAAATTATCAAAACGCTAGGAGGTGGTGGAGAAGAGACAGAAAAGCCACCTAGTTTTTCCCAGTGAAAATGACACAACGAGCTAGTTATCAACATTGCAAATAAGTGAGAGACGGTCTTCTAGTTCTAGTCCAATTACAAAAACTTTCATATGCATGTGTTATTTACTTTGAGAAATCTGTCAAAATACCCTTAAGAGAAAACTATTCAACATTTTGCCCGTTTGCAATTATTCCAAATCATGATCATGTAGATTTGATTCACCCAAAAGAAATGATCATATGAATTTTGATGGATATTTAAAATAAAAAAAATATAGGTAGAATATTAAATAGTTAACCTCTCATGAGTAAATAGGTAAATTCCCATTTATTTATTAATATATGTTTCAGATTTTTTTTTTTTGGTATTTCAGTAGGGAATATAGGCTCCTACCCATTTTTTGAAATGATTTATGGTTTTTAAAGATATAAGTGGGAAAGAAAGTCACAATGTTCAAGGTCATTTCCTATGTTTTAGAAATTAGAGAAGTTTGTATAGAGCCGAGGCTCTAAACAATCAAAGTAAAGCGTACCATCAAATAGTGTCGAAAATTGACGGTCCAAAAAAGCATTACAAGATGCACTATTTTCAAAACTTGAAATCCATGTTTTTTTTCTTATGTCCACACATCTTGATGTTGAGATGATCAATTTGAGGATATTCGAGAATCAAAACAACCTCTTCTAATGAAATTTTTGAGGCGAGCTTTAATTTGATTGTTTAGAGCCTCAGCTCCATATAAACTTTCTCCTTTAATACCTAAGCCCATTATGGGGCAGTACCACGTATATAGTAGCTAATAATAAAACCAAATGAGCATTATTTGTTGTATGTCATGTAAATGCAATCAACGTTGCAAATAAAACACATTAAAATCGATACCATAATTGTTAGAAAAAAGTTCACAAGTTATTTTGAACAAAATGTCATTTTTTTACTGTGATAAATTGAAATATTTGTGCGTAAGATTTCAATAATATATTTAGTATTTTCCCTCTTTCTAAATCTCTATGTGATTTTGTTTATTTCTCAGTTATAACCTATTGGAAATGTTTCTATACTTCCCCTATAGCATAGAAGATCTATACTTCCCCTACCATCCAGCCATCCAATTTTGATCAAGAGAGCCACTCACTGTTTGATCTTAGATCTGATGTCTCAAAGTATTTTATTTTTAGTTTTTTTTATACAAATTTTATGGATATGAAATTTGGTACGTGACATCTTCTCATTGGGGTGCACCTATACAAAATATTAAAAATATTTTTTCGATAAAATATAATGACCAAAATACCCCTTGAATCTTTCAGGGGTATTTTGATCATTTTATTTTATTGAAAATATTTTTTTTAGTGAGAGTTTAATAGAGGATTACACGCACAAAATTTGGTATCAAAATCATTTATATAAAAAAAAATTAAAAATAAAATAGTGTAGAAATGACATTGTGATTGGGGTAATCTTAGCCCTCCATTCAAAATGTACAGTTGAATAAAGGGAAATATATAAGTTTTATGTTGTGGGGGAAGCATAGAAAGCTTGCCCTAATCTATTTGCTATAATTTTTCTTATGTATATCTTATTTCGTAATCTTCCAATTTTGTGGCAATTATCATTGTAAAACAGGAAAGTGAGAAGCTTCTTACCATTAATATAAGTTCATTTTAAACCTTGAATTTATCTTCCACATCCTTGCTAAAGAAGTGGTGGGGGATTAAAAAATGGTCTATATCACCACTATGTTTCCAATTTTAATAACTAAATAGTAGAAATATAAATAAGGAAGAAGTTTAGGTAGGGTTGCAACTTATATTATTAATGTGTAATGCACCTTAAAATTCCAATAGAAAAGAGTGTTCCTAAGTTGGAAAACTACCAAATGATCATTTCGACCTCGAGATGTATTGGATTTAAAGAAAAAAAAAATGAAGTCTTAAAAATTGCGCATCCTATAGCAAGTTATATAGACCCTCTATTTTTAAGATTTTTAAGTGTTTATAGAAATATGCTTGATCTACACTGTTTTTGGATCTTTAATTTCATAATTAACATTGTACATAAATTTTCAAACCATCATGAGGTTTGTGACATTGAAATACATTTTGTGGCAGAATTTGGAGGTGGACCAAACTTGTACAGTTTAAGGTGGACACCTTGTACAATCCTCACCTTATAAATAATGAACGTTAGTTCAAATCAATTGGATCACCGTTGTTATTTCAAAATAAGTCTTTACGGTATGGTCTCATAAGGCGGTATGTCATCATTCTAACACCGGAGGAGTATAATATATTTTTGGCAAATGGGGCACATAGAGTACGCTCCCTCAAGAGCATGGTTGACTTCTACTCTCTCAATCACAAATCTACTTGAAAGGATTTTTTATTCGGAAATTTTGGGAACCACTCAAGAACTATTAGATGATTGATTATTCTCAAAAAAAAAAAAAAAAAAGAAAGAAAAAAGAGAGAAAAAAATTAATATTTTAGTTTTTTACACTAACAAAATTGGATGGTCTCAAGACATTATTTATTTCAAGGGCATCGAGAATACACTTAGGAAATTTTATTTATTTATTGAGGTTAATCTTGGGTTAAAAAAGTTACATCGGCAGAGTTTGGGATTCTAAAGTTGATTCTAGATGGGGTTTTATCTTAGGGAGAAAATGGAGATTGTACTTGTAGAATACCTTTTGGGAATTGTAAAAGGGCTTTCCTGTCTTCCTTTGTCCATCAACCAAGGAGGCTTACATTGCCTTTCTTTCATCCTTCGAAAGTACCATGGAGATTAATTAGCATATGGGAAGCGAGACTTGTGATGGTGATTTTTACGGAGGACGATCTCATCCTGACAATTAAGATCAATGAGGACATTGCGGCTCTTTTGGCAAATCAGGATAACCAAAGTTCTTACTTGATGCGACGAGCACTACACGACAATAATGTCAACACCCAAATAAAATATTCAAAAATAATATTGTGTACAATATATTTAGGAAAAATATGGAAACAAGAGAAATAAGAAATCACAAAACCACAATACAACATTTAAGTGGTTCACCTAAAGTAAGTTACATCTACGAACAAAAGTCAATGATGCATTTATTATCAAAAGAAGAAATTTATGTGTTTGGGATTTTATAGAGATTACCTAATAGAATGATAAATAAAGCTCAAATAAACATTTCCCACCACAATACCACTATCAATCAACTTCTCTCTTCGTCACCTTCGACCAAGCCTATCACTGTGAAGAAATGTCGATGAAAAATCTGCCCAATACGAGATCATAATAGTGATAGTGTTTGTGCAAAAAACCCAAATTTAATTTCCCAAACTTCTCTACAATTTTCCTTATATTTTCTCTTTTAAAAAATGCCTTTTATGGACCTCCAAAAAAGGCATATTTTTTGTGATGAAAATAGCCCTCATGAAAGAGGGAATTCCATACAGGAGTATTTTGGCATCAAATCCCAACAATCTCCACTTTAATGCAAAATCATTTTCTCACCTTGCTATCCATATCCGGTTATTCATTTCTTGAAAAACCTAGATAATTTAATCAATGCCACAAGCCCTCTAGCCCAATACCCACAATGAGCATGCCTTGGTAATCTTCCTTTGTGTTTGTTCTTATGCAAACTCCACCTTCAATACTCTCATCTTTGAGTTCTTGAGGTCATCTTGCCTTCACACGTGCTCTAGGTGAATAATTTTCTACACATCTACAAGCACAACCGGTGCTTGATCTCATATCACCGATATTCCTTGCATAAGCCTCTCCCATGAAGTCTTGCATATGCTCAAA